AAGGCGTGTGCCACCAACGCCCGGCTCACTGCCCAGTTCTAATGTGTCTTTCTACAAACAACACAAGTCATCTGACTTTGGCCAGGTAGTGGTGTCACACACCTTTAATTCCAGTGCTTGAGAGGCAGAGGCAGGTGGATCTCTGTGAGTTCATAGGCCAACCTGGTCTATAGAATGAGTTCCAGGACAGCCTCCAAAGCCACACAGAGAAACCCTGTCTTGAAATAAAAAAAGCCATCTGACCTTAAAATTTTTTTAACTTTTATCTATTTTTTAGAGAGAGAGAGAGAGAGAGAGAGAGAGAGAGAGAGAGAGAGTAAATGGACATATGAGTGCAGCAGATCCCAGATGAGCCCAGAATGTGGTGTCAGATCCCCTGCAGCCTGATTGACAGGTGGTTGTAAAGCTCCTGACAAATTGCTGGAATCCAAATTTAGGCCCCCTGGAAGAAGAGTTGGTGCTCTTAACTACTGATCCTTCTCTCTTAGCTACTGATCCTTCTTTCCAGCCCCTTAGCTGACCTTCCAGCAAACCTGTATTTTTTTAAATAACTTTTATTTATTTTTAGTTTATGTGCATTGGTGTTTTTGCCTGCATGTGTGTCGGTGTGAGGGTGTCCAGTCTCCAGGAACTGTAGTTATAGACAGTAGTGAGCTGCCATGTGGATACGGGGAATTGAACCTGGATCCTCTGGAAGAGCGGCCAGTGCTCTTAACCACTCAGTCATCTCCCCAGACTGTAAACTGGCATTTTTAACCTAAGTGCAGGATTTTGCCTTTTTATTGCTCTGGCATTGTAAACACTTTGGTCGTCATTTGAGGTTATCAGGTTCTGCACCCTCCTGGGGTTGGGGAGGTGGCCCAGTGGGAGTATTCCTGAATCTTCCGTTGCTGTGATAAAGTATACTGACAAAGGCAACTTAAGAGGAAAAGGGTTGAGGCAGCTGGCCACATAAAATGAGAGCCAGGGCCAGGCAGTGGTGGCGCATGCCTTTAGTCTCAGCACTCGGGAGGCAGAGGCAGGCGGATCTCTGTGAGTTCGAGATCAGCCTGGTCTACAAGAGCTAGTTCCAGGACAGCCTCCAAAACCACAGAGAAACCCTGTCTCGAAAAACCAAAAATAAAAATAAATAAAAAATGAGAGCCAGGAAGCAGGGTACTACGACGACTGGCGTTCAGGGAGCTTTCTTCTTACGCAGTGCAGGGTTCAAGTGCAGGGGATGTGGGTCTTCCCGTCTCACCTAATCTAACGAAAACGACCCCTTCACAGCCCTAGGTGGAGGCTAACAATCTAAACCGTCCCTCACAGGTATGTCTGGAGGCCTGTCTCCTAGGTGACTCCAGACTCTGTAGAGTTGATCAACAGTACTAACCATAGCACAGGGTACTGAGACTGGGTCTCCAAACCCCCTCAGAAGCAAAATCCCTGAGAGCTTCGGCCAGCAAGCTTATTGTAACAAGGTGAACATAAAGAGGACCCGGGAGGAGGTTGTCCTCTGTCCTCCACACCCACACTGTGCCATGCACACACCTATAACCACACACATAGCTAAAAAGAATCTGATACAGGGTTTCTCTGTGTAGCTTTGGAGCCTGTCCTGGAACTCACTCTGAGGATCAGGCTGACCTCAAATTCTCAGAGATCCACCTGCCTCTTCCTCATAAATGCTGGGAATAAGGGCGTGTTCCATCACCGCCTGGCCCAAAAAAGAATCTTACAGACGGTCAGAAGATGGCTCAGCAGACAATGGCCCCGAGCCTGCTGACATGAGTTCTATTCTCAGGTCCCATGGGATACAAGAAAAAAAAACTGACAAATGGTCCTTTGGCATCCATGTGTGTGCCATGACTCATGATCACACCTAAAAAATGATTGAAAGAAAAAAGAAATTGTTAGAGTCCTTAGTTTGTCTTTTCTCACTTAATTCCAATTCATGTCACCTTAAAATCTGGTTAGTTCACTTTCTACGTCTTCAGGGAATTAATGTTTATATGTTCGCTTTAATATATGATTTGGTTTTATTTTATGTGCATTGGTGTTTTGCCTGCATCTGTGTTTGTGTGACAGTGTCAGAAGCCCGGAACTGGAGTTACAGACAAGTGTGAGCTACCACTTGGGTGCTGGGAATTGAACCCAGGTCCTCTGGAGGAGCAGGCAGTGAGTGCTTTCAACCTCTGAGCCATCTCTCCAGTTCCTAATGTTTATATGTTGATGGGCTCTCCTTATTGGTATCAATTTTAGTGTGTATACTCTGCATACATTCTTTAGCCTGAAACCAATACTTGCCCTATCATTCAGCCTATCCTTCCTTCCCATTGCCTCTAATCAGATAGTCTAAGTTTATGATGCTACCCAAGTAATACTTCCCAAAAGAGAATGAGGTGTCTAGTTTTGGTGAACTGTGCCACATAATAGTGATGATCACCGCTGGTCACAGAAACAGCTGTTCAAAATCACCCAGAAGAAACTTGGAGCCGAGCGTTGATGGTGCACGCCTTTAATCCCAGCACTCGGGAGGCAGAGGCAGGCGGATCTCTGTGAGTTCGAGACCAGCCTGGTCTACAAAGTGAGTTCCAGGACAGCCTCCAAAGCTACAGAGAAACCCTGTCTCGAAAAACCAAAAAAGAAAAAAGAAAAAAGAAAAAAAAAAAAAGAAACTTGGGCTGACACACTGGTTTTAAGGAGAAATCAAATTGGCACTGACCAGGAAGCTTCCTCCCTGTTGGGAAGCTTCTATAGTACTGGAAGGCGCTCTTCAGACTGCTGTGCTAAAGTCCTGTCTTGGCACTGGGGTGGCAGAGGCAAATGATGAGGAGTTCAAGGCCAGCCTCGGCTACAGACTACTTCAGACTGCTTCAGACCACTAAGAATAGGAGCTGGGGAGGTGACTCAGCACTCAAGAGTGCTGCTCTTCCAGAGGGCGGTACCCAGCACCCACGTCTGGCGACTCACAATTGCATGCCACTCCAGTCACGGGGATCTGATGCTCATTTCTGGCCTCTGCAGGCACTCACACACTCATACTCACATACATAAATAAAAATAAATCTTGGGTATAAAAAATAAGAAATGGGTAGTATATGGGAGAAATATTGGCAGACAAGATTAACTTGCTAAGACCCTGAAAGGAGATATGAGATAGTCAGAGAAACTGAGGAAAAAGGGAAGGAGGCGGTAAAACCAGGGTGGTTAGAGGCTAAACCGCCCAACCCGAGCTGAACCAGGATGGATAGCTCCTGCTGCACCCAAAGCTGAAGCAGGGGTTTAGGACATATCCTGGACCCTCCTTCCCTTCCCTGCCCCAGTCTTCCCCCGATAGCTGAAGATTCTAGAATCTATCATGTCATGTAGAGTCTGGGTCCAGACAACTGGACTGTGTCTTGTCTGAGTCTAGCTCTTTTACATGCTAAGAGTTTGATGTAGAACAAGTTATCTCAACTATTTGTGACTCAGTTTCCTCCATTATAAAATGAGGATAAAAACAACACTGACTTCCCAGAGGTGTGGTCACCTTTCAATGAGATAATATATGTAAAGTGCTATGAACAATGCCTGGCATATGTGAGTAATCCCTAGAAGCACTGGAAATATTTGTTGGCATCTATTATTATATGTGTGTACGTGTATATGGTTGTATGTATGCCACAGAACACAGGTAGATGGAATTCCTTCATGCTTCATATGCACCTTGGAATTAACCTGGAGATAAGTTTAAACAATATTTTTAGCAATTCTGCAGGTGAAAACAGGTTTCACTGAATGGAATTTCTTACCTGTGGCACTATGTTGGTGCTCAAATAATTTAAAATTGTGGGAGTGTTTCAGCTTTGGATTTTCAGATTAGGATGTTCATCTTGGGGAAAATACTTAACTTCTCTATGCCTACACTTCCTTGTCTGTAAAATGGAAGTCACCACCGAATCTACCTCACAGGACTGCTGACTGCAGGAACAGACACCTTCCTGTTAAATATTTACTATGTGTGCACTAAACGTTTATTTAGGAATAAGCCTGAAATGTGGGAAAACCTCAACTTGTTATTTTTTGTAAATATTCCCCACCTGTGCCACAGGAAACCAGGAACCACCTTTAAGCCCACAAATTTATTTATTTATTTATTTATTTATTTATTTATTTATTTATTTTTGGTTTTTCGAGACAGGGTTTCTCTGTGTAGCTGCCCTGACTGTCCTGGAATTCACTCTGTAGACTAGGCTGGCCGTGAACTCAGATCCGCCTGCCTCTGCCTCCCGAGTGCTGCGATTAAAGGTGTGAGCCACCACTGCCCGGCTTGGGTTTTGTTTGTTTGTTTGGTTAAGCCCACAAAATTTAATATACCTCCTGTGACTGAGAAGAATAGCTGCTATGGGGGGGGCACTTCATTTCCTGTCTGCCAATGTGCTTAGGGCTCAATTACATTATCTCCCTAAATCTTCACAAGTGCCATAGGAGGGAGTTGCTCTATCATGAACCTCAATTTTAGAGGTCTGCTGAACGGAGGAATAATTTCCTCAAGTTCACGGAACCAGCAAGCGATGAAGCCACATTATGTATTTACCATTTGTTGCGATCTGACTGAGTCTCAGCAGGAGAGTAAGTAGCACTGTTGGGAAAAAGGCACACAGTCTAGGCTCCTACCTACAGGAAGTGTCAGTTTCCAAAGTTGGGGCGGGGGCGGGAGTGATAAACAAACACTGTAAGAGATAATTATAATAGTGCCCGGTGATTGCAACAGTAAAGGCTTACTACCAGAAGAACCACCGGATCTCAGGCGCTGGGTCAAGAAAAAGTACTGAGAATTTAAGTGTCCAAAGACACTTAAGAATTACGGGTAAAGCAGGTATCCTTTGACATAGTGTTACAACGTGCGTCCTGAAAAACAACGCGGGCCGCAGGCAAAAGGCTAACCGGAGCCGGACTGCAAAAGGAACCCGGAAAGGGGCTGAGCGCGGGTGGGCGGGGCCGCGCGGTGACTGGCAGGGGTGGGGCCAGGCTGGCCGCGCCCCTCGTCGCCGGCTGCTGGGCTTCGGCCGGGGTCGGCTGGGCTTGGAGAGCCGTGCAAAGCCGCCTTCCCGCTCCCCTGAGGGCCGCGGGAACCAAGCAGCGCGCCGGCTCGGGGACCGGCGGTCCACAAAGTTTGGTCCTCGGAGGGCGCAGCGTCGAGCCCGGCAGGTGCGGCCGGGCCTGGCCGGGGCGCTCGCGGCCTTGCGGGCGAGCACGGCCGGGCACCGGCGAGGAGCGATCAACTCTGAAGTTGGCAGGAGGTGACGCCCCTGTTCCGCTCCGCCGCGCGTCCAGCCCTGGCATCTCGAGCCCGGGTCGCGCCGGGGCTATGCAGCCCCCGCCAGGCGGCCCCGCGGAGCCCCCCGCCAGGTAGACGAGCGGCGCCCCAGGACCCTGCCGGCACCCTTGCTCCGCTCAGGATGCTGCCGGCCCTCCCCCTCCTCCTCCTCCTCCTCGGTAAGAGTCCCTGCCCCGCGCCCTCCAGGGCTACCCTCGCTGCTGCGAACGCCGCCGCGTCGAGCCTTGGCCCCTCTCGGGTTTTCCCACTTCGTCTGTCCCACCCCACAGCCAAGGAAGGCGACCTTTCAGCGAGGTCACGCACCTCCTTCCGGCTCCTCTACCTCTTCCTATAAACTACCCGGAAGTCTCAGATGGGCCTCCTTCTGGAGTTGCCCAGGTGAAGAAAACTTGTGACTCACTCTGCTGCCCTTTCTCGATCCCCCCTCTAGGAGGTGCTGTGGCCCGTCCAGACCAGGTCACTTTCCCAAATCCTGGTGAGTACAGAATGAAGGTGCACCCAAGAGAAAAGACTGTCCCCTGAATTCTGAAATACACTGTAGTTTTTGGATGGGGACCATCCATTATTTTACAAGAGAGGAAAACTGAGGCCCACGTTGGCATGCACCTGGTAGTTGTTATGAGCTCAGTTTTTGCGTGTGATTTCCGTGTTTTGTCTCCCTAGTTAGGGTAAGGTTTTCCTGAGAGTAAACTTTTCCCTACTGGCTCTGTGGCTGGCACAAAGCCTACCGAACATTACTTATGGTGTTACTTCTGGTGTTGACATTTAAGACAAAGTGTGAAAAATATGAAAAGGAGACAGAGGCAGGAGGATTAGTACAAGGCCAGCCTCAGCCACATGCTAACTTTGAGGATAGCCTAGGCTACATATGACTTTGTCTTGAAATAAAGAATGGAGAGGAAGAGAGGGACCAGCGGGTCTGTAACTGGTGGGCAGGGGTCTCTGTACCTCCTTGAGGCATCCAGAGGTAGCAAGCCTGGGGAGGGGCAGAGTGTTAAAAGACTCTACCAGTAAGTTTCCCAACCTTCTCCCTCCAGCTTGTGAGAGCCCCCCAGCAGTGCTCTTGGAGGTACAGGGCACTTTACAGAGGCCTTTGGGCAGGGACAGCCGCAGCTCTCCTGCCAACTGCACCTGGGTTATCCTGGGCAGCAAGGAACAGACAGTGACTGTCAGGTGAGAACCAAGGGAAGTTCCCCTTTCTCTGTACTGTCCCTTCTGTCTCCCTCTGAGAAGTCATAGATTGCTTCTCTAAGGTGTTTCCAGCCTTGTCCACAGAAGAGTAGAATTTGGTTTGACTGGGTCTGCTCCCAAAGCTTAGCTCCTAGGTCAGTGATGGCAAATTGACAGTGGCATTGGCCGTCTCCAAAGGACTCTAGGAATTATTCTGGGCTCAACTAGACTTGTGACGCACCCTTTAGCCTGTAGCATAGCCTACTTGTTCATGGGCTGGGAACCTTCCTGGGCGCTGGGACTGTGTTAACACCTCATTGGTGGAACACTTGTGTAGGGTGTGCACAAGTCCTGGATCCAGCCCCTACCAAAACCAACCTTCTCCAGGTCCGCCTTCCTGCATTGTTCCTGTACTCTCTCCTCCCTCTCCTCCCCTCCCCTCTCTGCTTCCCTCCCATCTTCTTCCCTCACCCCTCCTACTTTTCCTTCTCTTCTCTCCTCCCCTTGGCTCTCCTTTCATTCTGCTGGTTGTTTTTGAGACAGAATGTTACTACGTAGCTCAGGCTAGCCTTAAGCTTATGCTTCATCTCACCCTTCCAAGTTTTGGGGTTTCCTGTGGAATCACCATGCCCAGTGCATTTTTTTTCTTTCTTTTTCTTTTCCTTTTTGGTTGTTTTTGTTTCATTTTTTTTTTTTTTGCTTTCGGTACTAGGATACAGCTCAGGGTTTCACACATCCTGAGTGAGTTTCTGTCTCTAAGCGACAATCCCAGCCCTGTACCCGAAATCTACTAATGTTCTAAGTCTCCTCCTTGGAGCCCATGTCAACTGGCAGTTTGTCTCACACACTTGATAAGAATTTACCCAGACTGGGGCAGTGGTGGCACACCTTTAATCCCAGCACTCGAGAGGCAGAGTTAGGCAGATTTCTGTGAGTTCAAGGCCAGCCTGACCTATAGCTCCAGGATGGTCAGGGCAACGCAGAGAAAAACCCTGTGTTGGAAAAACAAAAAAGAAAAAGAATATATCCAGAAAGGTGCGTGAGGAAGAGAACAGTCTAAAGAGGCTGTTGTGGCCCAGGGCACAGCCATGGGGAGCTCAGATTTTACCTCTCCTCAGGTTGTCGAGCTGAGCCGTTGTGGTTAACTGAACAACTGTACATTTCGTCAGCTAACTGCTGGGCACTGCACTTGGATGGTGATATTGCAACAGCTGGAGAGTAATAACCCTGATCTTACTACTTAGGACCTTTTTTTTGGTTTCTCGAGACAGGGTTTCTCTGTGGCTTTGGAGGCTGTCCTGGAATTCACTTGGTAGTCCAGGCTGGTCTCGAACTCACAGAGATCCGCCTGCCTCTGCCTCCCGAGTGCTGGCATTAAAGGCGTGCGCCAACAACGCCCCAGCACTACTTAGGACTTTTAACAGCCTAGTCAACCCCTGAGCACAGTTCTCCCAGAGGGCTGGGGTGGGGTTGGGGATCCTGTGGTGTGATGGTGCCATTGGACCGTTTCCCATTGAATATATCTACTGCTGAAGGACTGACTGAGTTTTCATTTGGATCACTGAATCATAGGTAAGCAAGAGTTTGTGCTTCTTAGGCTACTAGGGACCTGTCATCAAGAGGGGAGGGAACTAGCAAAAATCTAGAACATCTCATGTCCTGCTCACCTGTCCCTTCCAGGTTCCAGAAGCTGCACCTGGCCTGCGGCTCAGAGCACTTATTCCTGCGCTCCCCTCTGCAGCCACCAGTCTCCCTGTGTGAGGCTCCTGCCCGCCCTCTGCAGCTTCCAGGGGGCAACGCCACCATCACCTACAGCTATGCTGGGGCCAGAGCTCCCATGGGCCAGGGCTTCTTGCTGTCGTATAGTCAAGGTAGGCTGGATGGGGAGTGCCCTGGGACGGTTACAAGTGGGCATCCCAGGAAGCGGCAGGGATCCCGGAGCCCTGGTGCTTCCCGGTCTCTTTGATGTCTCTGCAGATTGGCTCCTGTGCCTGCAGGAAGAGTTCCAGTGCTTGAACCACCGCTGTATACCAGCTGCGCAGCGCTGTGACGGGGTCGATGCCTGTGGCGATGGCTCTGATGAGGCAGGTTGCAGCTCAGCTCCATTCCCCCCGCTGAACCCAGCCCCTGTCCCCGCTCCAGCCTGCAATCTCACCTTGGAGGACTTTTATGGGGTCTTCTCCTCCCCTGGATATTCACGCCTGGCCTCAGTCTCCCACCCCCAGGCCTGCCTGTGGCTGCTGGACCCCCATGATGGCCGCAGGCTGGCGGTGCGCTTCACAGCCCTGGACTTGGGTTATGGAGATGCGGTGCACGTGTACGATGGTGCTGGGCCCCCTGAGGCCCCCCGACTGCTGCGAAGCCTCACCCACTTCAGCAACGGCAAGGCTGTCACTGTGGAGACCCTGTCTGGTCAGGCCGTTGTGTCCTACCACACAGTTGCTTGGAGCAGTGGCCGGGGCTTTAATGCCACCTACCATGTTCGGGGATACTGTTTACCTTGGGATAGACCCTGTGGCTTGGGCTCAGGCCTGGGGGCTGGCGAAAGTCTAGGTGAGCGCTGCTACAGTGAGGCGCAGCGCTGTGACGGCTCGTGGGACTGTGCCGACGGCACAGATGAGGAGGGTTGCCCTGGCTGCCCGCCCGGGCACTACCCATGTGGAGCTGTTGGCACCCCTGGCGCCACAGCCTGCTACCTGCCTGCCGACCGCTGCAACTACCAGACATTCTGTGCTGACGGAGCGGATGAAAGGCGCTGCCGGCGCTGCCAGCCCGGCAACTTCCGGTGCCGGGATGAGAAGTGTGTGTATGAGACGTGGGTGTGTGACGGACAGCCGGACTGTACCGACGGCAGTGACGAGTGGGACTGCTCCTACGCCCTGCCCCGGAAGGTCATCACGGCCGCAGTGATTGGCAGCCTAGTTTGTGGGCTGTTGCTGGTCATCGCTCTGGGCTGCACCTGCAAACTCTATGCCATCCGCACCCAGGAGTACAGGTCAGTTGGAGTGGGGCTGGCTGTGGCGGAATGGGGACCGAGACTGAGCAGGCCCACCTTGAGGGCCTGCTATGAGTTCATCAGAGTAGTCTCCAGGAAGGAAGGAAGGGCCATGACGTTGGGCAAACCGTGGCATAACTGCTCTGGCCTGGGTGTGGAGGGGAGAGGCCTTCTAGGCTGAGGTACGTCACCCTCACTGGGAGTGACTAGGGACTGAGCGGCCCTCCTTCCCTCCAGCATCTTTGCCCCCCTGTCCCGGATGGAGGCTGAGATCGTGCAGCAGCAGGCGCCTCCTTCCTACGGGCAGCTTATTGCGCAGGGCGCCATCCCACCTGTGGAAGACTTCCCCACAGAGAACCCTAATGACGTAAGTCACCTCTCCAGCTTCCGATCTCATAAGCCAGCCTGGTACTTTACTGTGGCCCCATCGCCGCGCCATGCGCCACCCAGCCGTTTGACCTCCTGACTCTGATGTCCGCCTCCTCTCCTTGCAGAACTCTGTGCTGGGAAACCTGCGCTCTCTGCTCCAGATCTTGCGCCAAGATATGACTCCAGGAGGTCCTTCAGGGGGCCGCCGTCGCCAGCGGGGCCGCTCAGTGCGTCGTCTGGTTCGCCGTCTCCGTCGTTGGGGCCTGCTTCCTCGAACCAATACCCCAGCTCGGACCCCTGAGACCAGATCCCAGGTCACGGCATCTGCTGCTCCCTCTGAGGCCCTGGATGACAGCACAGCTCAAACCTGTGAGGGTGGAGCCGTAGGAGGACAGGACGGGGCTCCTCCACTACCCGTCAAGCCCCCCATCCCAACCCCAAGCACACTTCCGGCCCTTGCTACTGCCTCTGACCCCCCAGGGCCTCCCCCCTCAGTGCCTCTAGAACCCTCACTGCTGTCTGGAGTTGTACAGGTCCTCCGAGGCCGCCTCCTACCCAGCCTGTGGCCCCCAGGACCCACTTGGACCCCAGCTGGACCTCATACAACAGTGCTGGCCCCAGAGGATGAGGATGATGTGTTGTTAATGCCACTGGCTGAGCCAGAGGTCTGGGTAGTCGAGGCAGAGGATGAGCCCCTGCTGGCCTGAGGGAAGCCAGCCATCTTGGGGCTCTGGACACAATGCTATGATCCTTTGGAAGTGGCTAGGCTTCTCCACTATGCTATCTGGTGCAGAAAGTTAGGTGTCCCTCAGGCAGGGAATCAGCTCCCCGAGAGACCCTTCTGTTTCTGACTAAAGGCTCGACCACCACCCTCTGCCTGTCCTGCTGTCCAGGTGACTGTGTTAAGAAAGGTTCCCAAAGGATCATAGGCTTGGACACTCCATCCTTCCCCACCCAAAAGTGGCCTTAAGTACCAGACTGCAGTTGCCTAGAGATCTAGCCCTCAAGTGGGGGATTTGGCCAGGGTGATGGTTTTGCCAGCCTCCATTTGTGGTGCCTGGCCCACTTAGAGAACACAAGTGCTTTTGTCCCCTAGCTGCATCATTGCCTAGGAAATCAAGGAAAAATTAAAATAAAAAATCATAAATTTCGGCCCTTGGTAAGTTAGTCGTGAGCTCCATCCCGCCTCTGCGCCCATCTCTTCCTCTCACTTTGATCCTCCTCCAGAGGATCAGCCTTCTACTTTATTAGCCCTCTTCCTGTTTAGTTTTCAACTGCCTACCTTTCCTTTTTATGCTACTTAGGAGGCAGAACAATTCAAGGACCCTGAGGACTAACCTCCGTCTTCCTTCTCTGGTCCAGCCTCACACTGACTGGTCAGTATGAGGCTCCGCAGCCAGCCTGAACTCACTGCAGGCCAGAAGTTGGAGCCAGCTGAGCCCTGAAGTCAAGAGAGGGTCCATTTATGGACTCCTCAGAACACAGATCACAGCTGCAGTCTGTTCCCTGATAAAACCCAGGAGCCACCCTCACTCTCCACCCCAGCCAGGCAAGGGAGCCTACCCTTCACAGCAGGTAGAGAAGCGGAAGGAAAGTAAGTTTGAGGCTGTGAAAGTGCTGGCATGACTGACCAGATCCAAGGGGTCTTCCTGGAGGAGGGTCGGAGCTGAGTTCTCAGCCATGCTGTCAGCAGTAAGCTCAATTCTAGGCAGGACAAGCAAAAAAACATGGAGGCCAGACCCACCCTCAGTGGAGCCCAAGCAGAGGTCAGAAGAGAAGCGCTGTGGTGGGAGATGAGGGAGTGTTGGAACCCCGCCTCTGCCCCAAGGAACCGGTTTCCCCAGCCTCTCCCTTCTTAGGGCCCTCAACAGCTTGGATCAGGGATACCCTAAAGTCTGACCTCACCCTCAGCAGAGGTGGCTAGGGGTCTTACACTTCTCCCACTGGGCACTCCTTCCCACAAAGATAACCCTTGCACATAGCAAGTGACAGTAGTCCAGCGAGGACCAGGACAGTCAGGGCTACACAGAGAAACCCTGTCTCAAAAAAGAAGTAGTCAAGTTGGAGGTGTACTCCAGTGCGCCTCCTCGTGGTCACCTGGTCTGCGTAGCCCCCTCAGCCCCTGCCAACGGATACCTTAATCCCCGGACCCCTCCAAATTTCCCTTCCTGGGGTGTTTGCAATGCAAAAATGGCCGGAGATTAAGGTGAGGGCTCCTGGTTGGGAAATAGATCCAGTCACTAAGTTCCCCCACCTTTAATTATTTATTTATTTATTTATGTATATGAGTGCTTTATACCAGTCGACTTTATACCAGAAGAGGGCATGGGATCCCTCTATCAGATCCTACCATGTGGTTGCTGGGAATTGAACTCAGGACCTCTGGAAGAGCAGCAGTGCTCTTAACCCCTGGGCCATCTCTCCAGCAACCGCCACCACCCCCTCTGCGCCTGTCTTCCTTTCTTTCTTTCTTTCTTTCTTTCTTTCTTTCTTTCTTTCTTTCTTTCTTTCTTTCTTCTTTCCTTCCTTCCTTCCTTCCTTCCTTCCTTCCTTCCTTCCTTCCTTCCTTCCTTCCTTTAATCTCAGCCACCAAGTGCTGGAATTACAGGCACATAACCATACCAGGTTTATGCAGTACTGGGGCTTGCAGCCAAGGTTTCATACCTGCTGGGTCTGATGGTTAATCTGGGCTGTGGACTAATTCCTCCCAGGAATCCTGACTAATACATTACCAACAATTTAAATTTACTTTGACCAAGGCCCATGGCAGGGGAGGGGAGCTGTGTTACTGTAGCAAACAACAGAGACAACCAGTTTACAAAAAGAAGGTAAGAGTGAGTGTGACGCATAACCTTAGCTCATGCTGAGGCTGGATTGTCATGAGTTCAATGCCAGCCAAGGCTACAAGGCAAGACACTGCTTACACAGTTATTTTAGCTCACAGTAATCTTTGGAGATTTTGCTCTGGGATGCTGTTTGATGAGGGAGCACCACACCATGGCAGACTCATGGCATAGTAAAATCAGTCACTAATGTAGGGGGCAAGGAAAAGGCCGGCGTGCCACATCCCCCTCGGAGGCTGTCCTAGTTACAGTTACTATGGCTACGATGAAAGACCATGACCAAAAGCAACTTGAGGAAAAGGTTTGTTCAGCTTACACTTCCAAGCACTGTTGATCATTGAAAGAAGTCAGGGCAACAGGTGGTGGCGCATGCCTGTAATCACAGCACTCAGGAGGCAGAGGCAGGCGAACCTTTGTGAGTTTGATGCTAGTCTGATCTACAGAGTGAGTTCCAGGACAGCTAGGGCTACACAGAGGTACCCTGTCTCAAAAAAACTTAGCGGGGGAGGAGGAGGAGAAGAATAAGGAGGAGGAAAAGGAGGAGAAGAAGGAGGTAGTCAGGACAGGAACTCAAACAGGGCAAAACCTGGAAGTTGATGCAGAGGCCTTTGTGTGTGTGTGTGTGTGTGTGTGTGTGTGTGTGTGTGTGTGTGTGTGTGTACTGCTTACTGGCTTGCGCCTCATGGCTTGATCAACCTTTATTATAGAACCCAGGACCACCTGCCCAGGGATGGCACCACCCACAATGGACTGGGCCCTCCCCCATCAATCACTAAGAAAATGCCCTGTGCTGGGTGTTGGTGGCACAAACCCTTAATCCCAGCAATCAGGAGGCAGAGGCAGGTGGATCTCTGTGAGTTTGAGGCCAACCTGGTCTACAGAGTGAGCTCCAGGACAGCCAAGGCTACACAGAGAAAACCTGTCTCAATTCCTCCCCACCTCAAAAAAAGGAAAGGAAAATGCCCTACAGCTGGACCACACACACACACATACACACACACACACACGCACACATACACACTTGGGAAAGGGGTCGAGCAGAGGGTGATGCAGATGGTTCAAAGGTTAAAAGCCCTTGCTGGTCTTCCAGAGGACCTGTATTTGATCTCACATCACAACAGCTCCAGGGGATTTGACATCCTCTTCTGGCCTCTGCAGGTACCTACAGACATGTGGCAGACACACATTCATACAGCTGAAATGTAAGATTTTCCAGAAGGTTACGGATCACTCACAGAAACCCATGGCTATCAAGATCACTGCTCCAAGCGTGCTTCTATTACAGAATATACTTCGTATCGAAGTGTGGGTACAGTGTCACTTTAGTTTCAGTTGTCAAGATGGCACACCTGGCAAGAGGAACCCCAAACAGGGACTGCCTATGTCAGACTGGTCTGTGGCCGCCTCTGTGCAGCATTTTTCTTCTTCCTTCCTTCCTTCCTTCCTTCCTTCCTTCCTTCCTTCCTTCCTTCCTTCCTTTCTGTTGTTGTTATTGTTGTTGTTTTGAGACAGGGTTTTTCTGTAGCTTTGGAGGCTGTCCTGGAACTCACCCTATGGACAAGGCTGTCCTCAGACTCACAGAGATCCACCTGTCTCTGCCTCCTGAGTGCTGGGATTAAAGGTGTGCACCACCACCTCCGGGTCAGAACTGTAGGCAATGCTATCCTGGGCATGGGCCCTGGACAGTATGAGAAAGGTAACTGAGTAATGCGGGAAGCAGCTTTCCTCCATGATTTCCGTTTAAGCTCCTGTCTTGTGTTCCTGCCTTGGCATTCCTGATGATGCCCTGCAATCTGAGAGCCAAATAAACCCCTTCCTCCTGAGGTTGTTTTGGGTTTTATCACAGCAACAGAGAAACGAACTAGAACAACAATGACTGAAGGCCCTACAGAATAAAGCACATAGGTTGTGTTAGCTCTTTCAGATCCTGCCGTGGGACTGACCTCCAACTCAGTGGTACTACACATTTTTCCAGGATTACTAATCACTTCTTCTATGGAAAAGTCTACTGAGTGGCAAGATATATCACCAATAAAAGAAGGTTGCAGGGGGTGTTGGAGAGATGACTCAGTGTCTAAGAGCACTGACCGCCCTTCCAGAGGACCCAGGTTCAATTCCCAGCAACAGCATGGTGGTTCACAGCTATCTGCAACTCCAGTTCCAGGAAGCCTAACACCCTCACCAGACATACATGCAGGCAAAACACCTATGCACACAAAATAAAAATGTAAATGGAAAACAACAGTGTAGGCTTTTGGGTTGGAGAGATGGCTCAGTGTTTAAGAGCACTGACTGTCCTTCCAGAGGACCCATGTTCAATTCCCTGCATCCACATGGCAGCTCGTAACTGTAACTCCAGTTTAAGGGACTCCAACACCTTCACACGGACATACATGCAGGCAAGACATGTATGAGATGTGAATAAATGAAATAAAAATGATTTTTTAAAGGTTGCAGATATTTCAGAGAAGGCAAGCAGCTTTGCGTAGAAATGGGGGGAGGTTTCTTGACATCGGGAAGATAAGGATGGGAATCCTAGTGACGCTTGCATGGTGCTTTGGGGACAGGCCACCCACCAACCACTCTAAACTTTTGCATGAAAAGGAAGATTGTTAACACAGAAGAGTACTTGGCAAAATAGGGCGCAGCAGAGGGGTGACTGGGTGCTTAAGGGTCTGCAGAACCTGGAGGAAGGGAGCTGGGCAGACAAGGCGCCGTGGAGGAGTTGTGGTTCTAGCTTTCCATAGCTGCTGTCCATCAATAGATGCTGTCCATCAGTCGTCTTTGTCTCCACGTGCTGCTGCTGGCTAACACTGGCTGCGTGGTGAAGGCAAAATGAAGCCGTACAAAGCTTCCTCGGTGCCCTCCTCTCTCTGCCCGAGGACTTCCGTAGCTCTTCCTCCAGAAGAGTCAGAGTGGAGGAGGTTGGCAGCAGTAGGGAAGCCCTCCCCAGCTTCGCATCTCTTGGCCCATTTCTTTTTGTCAAGTTAGCCTACAGTCTGCCACCCTCTTTTTAGCCACTGAGCACCCACCCTGAACTGGACAGTGGGAAGGGGGCTGGAAACAGCAGAAGTCCTCTGGCTCCCAGGGTCCCCGCCTCCTGCCATCCTCAGCTCCTTCATCCACAGCCCCCTTCCTCCAGGCTGCCCTCTGCAACCTTCTCTTCTGCCTCATGACTGCTCTGCCCAGCCTTCATCAGGCTGTGCCTGTGCAGCGAGTATGCTCCCAGAGGGAAGTGACACAAAGAAAAAGGAGGGGGACAGAAGGAGGGAATCCCGCTTACATCACTGCTCATTAGCATATGTGACC